GCAGCTCTTTTCCGCCCTCCGTGTCCAGCCTCCTGTCCTCACTGCCCAGCTCGGCTCACCTCATCTGTGCTGGCGCTTAATCCAGCTCCTTCACTGTCACCTTTTCCTGTATTCATTAGAGCGTGTCCTCATGATCCCTCCGGCACGACCTCGCCCATTGCTCACCCGCACCCAGCCCAGCCCAGCCCAGCCCTAGGCCTGCCAAATTCCGAGGTTGCCAGCGTGGCTTCCAAACCACTTCCTGACAGCCCTGAACCTCCTGCTTGGCGCTTCCTTAGGGGACCTCCCATACTGGGACACAAGACAGTGTCCAGAGGCCACAAGGTCCAAAGATAAAAATAGGAGGCAAGGTCCAGAGCAGAGCGACTGTCACAGCTGGGCCCAGGAGGCAGCTCCAGAGCGTGGGAAGCCGTCTGCAGAGGCACCATTCCGTAGCCACGATGTGGCAGCAGCACCGCACCCTTTCCTGGGTCTCCTCCCTGGCCCTTCCAGCGACGCTGTAGTTCCGTCTTCAAGCGACTTCACGTTTCGTGGTTTAACAGTCAAATCCCCTATACACTTCTACCACACTTAAACTAAGAAAGAGGGACAACAAATGAATCTACAAGTGACAGGAAGAAATATTTAGATAGAGACATTTCCAATGTAAAGATCAAGTTGATCTAGAAAAGAGGTTGCTGTACAAACTTAAATAAAGGCTGGAGAACTGAGAGGGAGGGGGTGGCTGGCACCTTATCGGTCAACTAAGTGGCTGCTGTCAGACACTCAATCTCGAGAACCTCCCCAGTGCACAGTCCCTCTTAGGCTGGCCACAGGACAATCATTGTGGCCAATGGGGTGCTTCAGACGCTTCTGCAGATGGACTTCACCCAATCCTGCCCCTTCCCTGTCTCCAAAAGACCCTCTGCCATCTTGTCCAGTGTGAACCTTCCAGAACAGCTCATATGTCCTGGGACCCTGCCACTAGTATAAAAGACCCACGCCCTCTCAGGGCTGCTGGACACGTGGTCATTTCCACCTGGTCGTACTGCTGGGTGTCTGGCCACACATTCCAGGGCCTGACTCTTACTTGACACCAGCTTGGCAGGACCAGTGAAATTCCTTTTTGCTTGTAACTTTTCTTTTGTAATGTCCTTTTATATTTAACATCCAAAACACATGAGGCTTAAGTTGGAGGTCACGTGCAACGTGTGCAAATCTGAAGTCAGGGAGGTGCTTTGCTCCCGCACCGGGCCCAGGGCAGCCGGGTCCCAGAAGCTGATGTAAGATTGGCCCCCACCATGGCTCTTGGAGACTGCACTTTCCTTTGCAAGTGTCTAGAGCTGGCTCTTCCATTTCTGTCATTTTTTACAAAAAACAAAAGTTTTTGTATCACCTAGAGCTACATATGGGCAAAGGAGATTTGAGGAGCGAAACGAGAAGAGAGAACGCTTCTAAACTGCTTTCCATAATATATATGTTCCTAGTATAATTGTATCTGTTTTTGCTTGTGTCTTTACTACTAAAATGTCTTTCAAAAGACTCAGGGTCAGCAGGTGGCATGGTATTAAGGCACTGGACCCCCATCTGTCTGAGAGCGAGAGACCCAGTGGCTGAAAAATCACGCCGGGTGTGTGTATGTGTGTGCCCCAAATCCTGAAAGAAGAATGGAGGAGAATGGACTGTGGTGTGGCCATCGCCCCGAGAAGCTTTCTCACATTACTTCTCTCTGTCTCTCTCTGGTGAGTGCAGGTGCCCTATAGCAAGACCCTAAAAAAGCCTGACAGGTTTCTTGGCTCTTCAGGCCAACGTGTGCTAAGCCTGCCACACTCCTAGCTCTGAATTCTCTCCTAGCATTGCCTATTGCTTTCTTTTCTGGGGTACTTTAAATTTTCTTTTTAAATGTTAAAAATAGTTTAGATAAGTAGAATAGTACAAATATATTACCGACTACTTTATGAAGTACAAGATGGGTTTTTGTACGAGGGAGTCTCCACATGGCAGTGGCATGGACAGCGAGGGGTTTCTGTCTCTCCTGACTCTGGTGATACCCAACTCTCACGGGAGCCTCC